GCAGCACCATTCTATCTATTACCTACACACCAACCAAAGATGCCACTGGGTATTGTGCTAAACTTTGCTAGTAGTGTGACGGGTGATCAAAGTTTCCCTCAACTGCTTGTGACAACAATTAACACTGGAAATGGACGAAACAGGTGCTTGATTTCCATAATATTTTCATTGAAACACAAAGGAAACTAGTTCAATAATAAATGAGTATTTTTTCTGAGACGCTCAAGACAAAGAACTTGCTGAATACCGATGAAGAAGAGCTCTGTCCTAAATGTTGAAGTGTAAACACAAGCCAACTTGAATGTGGAAATAGAAGCCGGCATCAAAGCAAGTTCAGAGAAGGAAGTTCAGTTGTATAGAAGTTTCCGAAAGGTCAGTGCAGGGAAAAAAATACCGAAAAGCGTTTTAAACATATTCTCTAAATAAAACATCAAAGGTAAAACTTGGAACGAAACCATAGCACTACTTATAAATATCAAAAGAGGTTGCGACACATTTGATTATTCTCCTCTCAGTTCACACTTACTAATGCCACATAGCGTAGAATAATCACAACAGACAGCTATTATGCGATGCAAGTAGATCCCGTCTAAAAACATTCACTGCAAAAAGATGAGTGCTGGTGCTGCATTTGGTCTACGCAATCACTACTTCAGTGTAAGCCTTATGGGATTGAGTGATCGCACACGTCTCACAGCACTTGAACAGCTGTTCACTTGGAACACGAACAATGATAACATTATTTGTGTATCGGCTGCACACCGTGCCATCACTTTGCTCGGAAGAAGGAGCCAGATAAATACTTCTCGTTTTCCCAGATTGAAAAAAACAATGCATGCAGTGAGGCTATGCTCGCATGAGTTGTTTGTCTCTGGTGAGACGAGTAGCGGATGTTTAAACGATAGACTGCCATGCAACTCACATTCATTGTCTCAGAGATCTTTTCTCGGTGAGATACTTAGATCTTCAATATGCAAGGCAAGTGGCGGCGCTGCATTCGTTCTACGCAATGTCTTCTTCGAAGAAAATTCATCGATTTGAACCAGTGCACCGCTCTTACCCCTTTCAGAAACTTCCCTTTGGAATATGCACAATATTTATGCGATAATTTGATTCTCCATCCCTTGTAAAGAGCCGTTTTTATTGAGTATAGCTTCGATCCGACCTGGTTGGGTCTCATCAGCTGTGCGAATCCATCGACCTAGCTTTTCAGTTCACGCCTCATTTTCTATATACACGACGAATTCCCATTTGAAATTTAATTAAATCCTCCATTACTCACAAGAAATATGGTTTCGATTGTTTGAATGACCAACTCTCTCACTCTTTGAACCATCCGGCTCTTCGGTGATGGTCAAATGGGTAACACCTCTCCTTTATAAACCGGACGATCATGGGTTAGAACCACATCAGAGCCGCGTTGTCGTTATTCATTGCATCTGAAGACATTCGTTTCAGTGAACAGGTACAGCTTTCTGAAAATTGATTGTACATATATAAATTCGGTAATAACAATTATATAAATGAAGACGAACCAAGTGTTCGAAGGCTTGTGCTCTGGTTTCGCGTGTTACCCGAGCTTATCACGGAAAGTTTGACTAACTGATGGACGTATTCTT